GCTTATGAAAAGCATCATAAAATATATTCAGTCCACTTTGAAAGGAGGTAACGATGTTGGAGTCTGATTTGTTAAGAGAGAGACATCCTGAAACTTATTTTTGTGCTTATACAATCACATATTTACTATATTACTTAAAAGACCGATTAAAAAAAAATAATAATAATAAACTAAGACACAGGTGTGTTATAAAAGATGAAGATGCAGCCACAATAGGAGATCTCACTGCCACTTCTGCACAGAACAGCGTTAATATGCCTCACCCCAATTCTGCCAGCAACTGCTGCTGGGGGTGATTATGAGTGGGGTGCAGCTGGCAAGAAATGCCATTGCCGGATTCTCAGCAGAGGGAGCTTAACAGGAGTGTCATTTAGGGTGGTAGCTTTATCACCTGGATACATTTGCTAAAACCTGGAACAAGATCAGAACAGCCTGCAGAGGGTAATTACTTACATCCTCTGTCATTGTAATTCGAATTCAGAACAGTCACCTAGGCACAAAGGCTCCAAAACTGCTTTCTTGTTTACTTGTTTCTGAAACATACATCATCCACTGAGAGATCCAATCACCTTATACATTCAAAAAATGTATTCCCTTTTTGAGAACTTAATTTCTATTCCCCTTTCAGTTGATTTCTAACTAACAGTAGCTTCGTTCCTGTAAACTCATGCTAACTTTCCCATTGCTTCTTCAATCCCGTTGTTATCCCAATTCTAAAAACTGGATCTGTTGTTTTGTCCAGAAAAGCAAGCCTCGCTTTTTATCTTCTCTCCTGTCAGGTTTTTTCGCGTAATACTTCCAGACTCATACTGATCAGTTAACCAGCAAAATAAAGTGCAGTTTTCATTCTCTTATGTCCCATACATGTTCCATATTACCGAAAATCTAAAGCCCTACTTCCTGAACATAAACAGCACCTGCAGATCTGCCTTAAAACCTGCTCTCAGTTACGATCTCAAGTAATTCCACAGTGACAGCTTTTCTACATCATTGATGAATAACGAAGTGATCAATAACTCTAGAAAATAACAGTAGATAGCTCTTGTGTTGCAGAGAGGAAAAGCTAAAGTAGAAAGGTTCAGCATTTCAGAAGAACCTGATACAGATAAACTTCTACAAACCAAAAGTAGTAGGTTTGATGACAGGAGAAAAAAGAAAGTTAGCACTGCATCTAGCTTGTGAGGGTTCTTTGCGGTATGCATGAAAGAAGTAGGGAAAAAAAAAAAAAAGGCGCTTTTTAAATGAAAGTGTTGTACAGACATAGGTCTATAAATCTGATTTCATACCCAAGTTCCAATTTTGTTACACACTATTAAAAATCAACCTTAACCTGATTTAATGGATACCCAAACAAGGGGGAAATTGGATTCCCCAACCGTAACATGCCAGTGACACTGAGTGATACATAAAAGCAATACAACTAGTTCCTGTCTTTAATTCATAGCTTGTGCTTTAATTTCAAACCTGCCTTGGGTAGAAAAAAGGCTGGGATAAAAGCTTACTGCAGAATTTGTGCGTTAAAGATTTATTGAGATGGGAAGACTAAACAGAACTGAAAGCACATGCAATAAATAGCATATACGGACTCGCAAAGAATAATAATAAAAGCTGCATGTACAGATCTGCTATTAGCATTTAGAGAAGAAAAAGTAAAAGGAAATAGAAAAGAAAAAAACTAAATCAAAAATCAACGGATACAAAAAACAAGCCAACAAATAAAAAAAAAAAAAAAAAAAACAAACAAACAAAAAAAATCAACACAACACCACAACAGCCTGTAAGCGGCACATCACAAGTTTGCGGACAGGGTGGCTGCTTCCACGCGGAAGGCGCTCATGCCCAGCCGGACACTCCCGTGTCACGCCAGCCAGCCCCGTGTCCCCCCTTAAGCCCCGAGGGAAAAATCCCCGCCCGGCGCGGAGCAGCGTTTCAGCACCTCGCTCGCCCGCTGCGAGTCGCTCAGAAGCCGCGGGGGGGGTTGGAAGGACTCAACCTCCCGGGCGCGCCGCGAAGGAACGGCGGTGCCGGCGACAGCGGGGAAATAGAGGAGGAGCGGGGCGCTCCGGCCCCCGCTGCGGCGGCGGCGGGGCGGGCGGGGGCACCGGGGGCGCTGCACCATGGACAGTGGCCGCCCCCCCCCCCCCCGCCCTGCGCCAGCCGCTGCAGCCGCCCCGGCCCCGCCGCCGGCCTCGCCTCAACCCGCTCCCCCGGCCCGCCAGAAATGCCCCAACCGTAAATACTATTAAGAGGCGATGATCTGCGCCATCTGGCCCTCAGACTTGCCGCCCTCTCCACCCCCGGCGCCGCGCAGGATACGGGCTCAGCGAGCACAAAGCGCGGGGGAACCCACCGCCACCCTCCCCACCCACCCCCAGCCTCCTCCGTTCGGGGTTCCCCCCCCCCCCCCGCCCCTTTCCCGGGCTCCGCGTTCGCTCCGGACGCCCCGCGCCGCCGGAGGAGGGGGTAACCCAGCCCAACCACCGCCCCGCAGGCGCTGCCCTCGCTGCCCCAACCGGGATCCATTTTGTCGTACCCGTACTACACCCCCCCCCCCCCCCCCCCCCCAGTCCGGTCAGTCCCATCTCGCCCCCGAGGTTCCCCCCTCGCACGGGCGCCGGCCCGCAGACCCCCTACTTTCTCCACGGAGAGACACCCCCCCCCCGGGGCACCCCGGCCGGCGGTGCCTGCCCGGGACCCCGCCGCTCGGGGCGAGCGGGGAGCCCGCCCGAGGGATGCAACAGCAGGACTTCGATAATAATAAATTAAACACTTCGGAGCCCGAGCCCGTCCCAGTGGAAATTCCCGTTAACGGCAGGGGGTGGGGAAGCCCGGCGCCCAGGCGGAGGCTGATTAAATTCTTCCCGGGAAGGCATTAGCGGGCACGGGATCCGGGGGTGGCCGAGGCGCGGCCCGCAGGGGCCTGAGGAGGGGTGCTGGGGCTGCCCCCCCTTCCTCAGGAGGGGCGGAGGGGGTGATGCCCGTTCCGTCCCTCCAACTCCGGTACTTTGTCCCCCGCGCTCACCGCAGGGCCGAGGTCCCGGTCTGCTGCCGGCCGAGCGGATACCGGACAGCCCTCCCTCCCACGGCACCTGCTCTCCCAGGAGCGAAGGGGGGGGGGGGGGGGGAACCGCGTTCCCTCGGCAGCGCCGCCGCCACCCCTCACGCTCCGGGGGACCCCCCCCCCCCCCCCCGGGCACACGCTCCCCTCTCCTCGGAGCGCGGCGGCGGGGCTGCCCCCGAGCAGGTGGCTCCCCGCGAGCGGCCTTCCCCTACCCCCCGCTCCCCGATACTCCCACCTCAGCGGCGAAGCCTCCCCCCCCACCCCCCCCCCCGGGTCTCCCGCCTTCCCCCGGGCACCGCCGCCCGCAGGGGAACAAAGAGACGCAGCCCGGCCCCGCTCCCCGCCGGCGGTGCTTACCTGCTGCAGGGCCGCCAGCAGCATCAGCGCCAGCGGCGGCAGGATCCGCGGCGGCGCTCCCGCTACCCGGCACATGGAGGCGAGGAGGGGCGGCGGCAGGGCGGCCCCCAGCAGTCCCGGAGCGCAGCCGGAGCCCGCGGAGCGGGGCGAGGGGAGCAGCGGGGAGGGTCGGGCAGCGGCAGCTGCCGGGGGGCTTGCGGACGGCGTCTGCCCCCGCCTGCCGGAGCCGGCTGCCGCGGCGCTGGCTGCCGGCTGCCGCTCTAGCTCATGGGCAGCGATGCAGCGGGGGAAGAGAGAGACGGGGAGAGAGAGAGAGAGAGAGAGAGAGAAAGAGACAGACAGACAGAGGGGCGGAGGATGGGTGAAACTCAGCTCTGGGTCAGGCTTTTCTCTCTGCCGAGCCCCCTCCGCGGTGCAGAGGGTGGGCAGGGAAGAGGAGGAGGAGGAGGAGGATGGGCGAACAAAAGGCTGGGAGATAAGAAAGAAGTAGTCGCTGCTGCTGCTGCGAGGCCGGTGCGGCGGCTCCCCTCGGCTGGCTGCCTTCCCCACGCCCGGATCGTGCCCGCCTCGCTCCTCCCGCCGGTGCCCCCCGGCGAGCTCGGGCAGGCGGCTCCCCTCAGCGCCTCAGCCCGGGCGCGCCAGCACCGCCGCCGCTCCGGCCCCAGCCCTGCTGCATGCTCGCCTCGCACTTTCTCTCTCCCTCTTTCTTCTCCTCCCTCCACCCCTCCCCCTGCAGGCAAAACCCTCCGCTGAAGCACAACGATAACAATACCCCAGCAGCCTCTGCCTGCCGTGTGTGTGTGTGTGTGTATACGCGCTCGCCCGGTGCCTGCCTGCTGCTGGCAGCTCCCCCTCCGCCTCCCGTCGCTCCCTGTCGGCCGCACGGCCAATGGGAACGGCACGGCGAGCGGCGGGGACCGCTACCCCTCCTCGGCCCCCAGAGAGCCGGCGCTGGGGCAGGCACTAACGCCGATTCACCCTGCAACGCCATCAGCTGGGGGGGGGGGGGGGGGGGAAGGGAATAAATTCCAACCCACCAACTCGCTGTGCTGCAGTTGTTTGGGGGGGCGAGGGGAGAAGTTGTTGTGGAGGGAAGGACCCGTCCCCGCCGTGCTGGTTCAGGGGACGGTCGATGCGGGGAGAAGCTGCGGGGGCGCCGGTGGTGCCCGGCCCGGGGGTGGCAGACGCCCCTGCCCGGACCCCCGGCTGCTGGCGGCTCCGCAAGTTTCGCTCAACTGTTACTGTGTAGCGGGTTAGGGTTGTTTTGTTTTTTCCTTTTACTTTTTACCCCCTTTCCCTACGTTTCTTTGTTTTGTTGTGTTTTTTTTTTTGTTGTTGTTTGGTTGTTTTTTTGTTGTTTTTTTGGTTGTTTTTTTTTTTTTTTTTTTTTTCGCAACTACCTGCTGAATTCTATCAGCAAATGATTTCAGAAGCTTGGCCGGGGCTGCAGTCCGTGGGTTCAAAAATGTCAGCGTGCATAACGGGACTGGGGAGTGTTGCTGAGCGAACAGTTAGAGAAGCAAGTATCAGTGCTGGGTCATTTGCAGAGCTAGCAATGATTTTCTCTCGCCCACAGGTCACCGAGCAAAGTTGTTTTGTGTCCATGCATCAGAGCTCCCATCCTGGGACATAATAAGGGGAGGATTTGTAGGCATTGGCCCCTAGACGATCTCATGAAGCGGCGATTCCAAATGGTGCATTATTTATTTTAAAGCATCTTATTTTACACTTGAACTTGCAAGAAAAATACTCCCAGTTTAATACCTTGTCTCTCCCCCCCCCCCCCCCCCCCCGCTTTAGAGGATAACGCAAAACGCCGTGCTCATGCTTTGGAAGGAAACAGCGGCTTTGCTTTTATATTTGCTCGGGGAAAGGCGGGGTAAGTACACGCCCGCACGATGCCGATTCCATTAGCTTCGAAATCGAAAATACCGGTCACTTGCGAGCTGGGGTGCAGCTGTTTACCCCAGTCAGGGGAGAGGGAGGAAAGGCCCGAAGCGGCGGGGGAGATGCGCGCCCAGGCTGGGCAGGGCCGGTCCCAGTCGAAGCGGGAGCCACCTGCAAGCGTTAAAATCCAAATGAGACTCAGCCGAGGAAAGGCAGCAGCAACTAGGAAAGCAGCTCCCCCCCCCGCGCCCTTTTTAAAGTTGTAGCCCATGAGATTTTACCGAAGCCAACAGTTGAGAAGATCAATGAAATGAGGGAAGGAACGTCGGGATTCAAATTTAGCCTGGACTGAGGGAAAAAAAAGCGAGAAGGGCACAGCTGATGTTTATAGCGGCTTACAATGAGGGCTTTCCCGGGTTTGCACCTGAGGGAGCATGTGTTCGGTCTCTTTAGCTTGGGTCTGCTGATGAAACGGTGACTTTCCCTGAGTAACAGATCCCTGTTTGTATTTTCTGGTAGGTAGATACAATATTAAATTTACTAATGACTGTATTTGAGCACTGATTCACTCTTACAAGTGTCCTACAAAATGCAAAGCACACAATATAAACAACTCCATAAACCAACTGTCCAATGAGAGTAATTACCTATCATCTAAATGAGCCCGGCCCCTCATATCCCTCAACCCATCCATCCCTAAAGGCCTGAAAAAATAAAAGGCTCTGCAGTATATCTGGAAGGTTACCAGATCTGAGCTCTGGCTGATGCTTCTTACGGTTCTGCTGCTGCCTTTAAATTTACTTAGCAGAAACAGTAACCCTGGCAGAAAAATTGCTCTTGCCAACATCATTTTACTGAATCTTTTAGCCCTGAACAAGTTTCTATCACGCAGTTGGCTTCCCTCATTTACACAGTCGTAACCAAAAGTTTCCTCCAGCTCATACCAGTTCTGGGTACTGTGATAAAGAGAAACTAACAGAGCAGGGGTGGGTTATATCTTTTGGGGTATAATCTCCACACCGCATCTCTTTATGGGTGAGAGGCATATGTTTGTGAGAGCAGAGCAGAGGAGAAGCTTGTGCATTGCTTCCAGACATGGATGATTCCTCAGGGCTTGTGCTATTCATCTGTAGCATAAGCCCAAGAGAACAGATTTTTTTTTTTTTTTTTTTTTTAAATTTCCCCCCACCCCAATAATCTAGAGCATTAAGTAGGCATAGCTGGAGATTCAGAGTTAGAACTGCTACTACATGGGCTCATCAGCCCTTTTCACATATATCATGCAAAAGCCAGCAAATGGTGGCAATTTCTGTCCAAGATTTAAACAAATGATTTAGAACTCAAAGGGTTTATCTCATAACTCAGCCACAGATTGCATTTATGAGTGTGTTTTAAGTAGTATAAAAATAACGGACATAAGTTAATGTTCAACCTAGGAGATCTCAAGGGCTTCCAGAAAAACCTTGTTAAAATTCCATGATTAAGTTGAAGAGAGGATTAGGGTAATTCCCATGTTAGTCATGGAGTTGAGTCTCTCTTTCAACTTGTCCAAATTAATTTTCATTCCTAAGGTTCATAAAAATCCTGTAAAAAATGAATGTTTTCAATTTGAAACATACTAGATTGCTCATGGCTTCAAATATTTTGGAAAAAAAAAAAAAAAAAAAGACTTTTTCCCTTGTGGGTCTATCTTTATATTTAATCTGCCAGGTACTGCCACTGCTACTCTCCTCAATTCAAATTATGCAAATTAAGCACTTTACTGACAGTTTAGGCCTTGATCTGACAAACATTTATACATGTGATCTCAGCAAATTGAATCATGGAGCTCACAGACATACCACTGTTCATATGCCTAAGTATTTACAAGATGGAAGGATAAATGTAATGAGCAAAAGTACTGAGTGCATGCATATTAATTTACCCAGTTTCCTTGTATTCTTCATTACATATGAAGAAATATTTTTATTTGTTAAAAAAATAACATCCTAATTAATGGGTCCAAGGGCATTCAGTGCTTATTACTGAGTTCTATCACAACAGTGGAAAAAAAAGCAAAATCCAACTTTTTAGGATGGTTGCTTTTAACTTGGGCTCTGTGGACCCCTTGAGACTCCAGACATATTCTGCGAAGTCTCTGACAGGCAATGGGGAAAAAACAAATTTGTATATTCTATATAGCAACTCCACACACATAAAATTCCTAAGGGGGAGAGATTTTACTGAATTGTAAGATTGTTAGTCATTGGCAACACATGAAAATGATTGTTTTAGGAAGCAGATAATCATGCATGGTGGCCGGGGAGAATGCAGTTTATGTAGATAGTGTCAAGTGGGAAAGAAAAACTAAGTGGCTCAGATGCCAAAACAGCTTAAATATTTTAAAAATTTAGATAATTAGAATGTTGTTGTTAGTGTAATACTCTTTTTCTTACTTCAGCAAAATAAGCATGACCCTTTGAATGATCTGGTCTAAGTGTTTTTTTTCTGAAACACGCTTTTTCATGTTGATCACCTATGTGATCTAAAAAAGCCCTAAGTTCTAATTGTCCTTTTATGTAGGGAACTAGTCTCAGGAAAAAAAAAAAAAAAAAAAAAAAAAAAAAAAAAGACAGTCTTAGCAGTAAGTAATATTTACTTGATGATATCTTGTAATTTGTTACAGAACTTAACCAAGTTGTGCTCATGGGCTTTTCTGGCACTATCATCGCTTAACATACATAGCCTGAATGTTTCTCCAGCCTGTTTCTTACATCAAGACAGTGCAAGACATGGAAAGGTAACTACAGCTGCAGCAGTTAGTGGGCTGTTCTGCTCAAATTTGAAAATCAGCTGGATCAGGATGGAAGAATGTTATATACAGCAGTTGTGTTTATGCTTTAGCAACCTTTGGCAATATAAATCTTTTTCTATTGCTATGTATGTATATGTGCATATATATATATATATATATATATATATAAGATTTGATGGAAGAGGATGTTTTTTTCCTTTTTCTGGTAGCTAAATCGTATCTGTCACCATAGTTATATTTCTGCTAATTGCTAGTAACTTTTGCAAAAGATTTCTCTAAGGAGAAGATGCTGAGCATATGCAATCCAGATGTGATACAATATATTTGCATATTGTGTAATTGGCTTTATGTTTATACCCTCAGTGTGATGATTGGAAATCAACATAGTCAAGCTTAGTGCTTATAATTCATTCTTCCAGGAAACTCATTCAGCATCACTGCCCAGTGCCTGCAAGCTGTTTGGCCCGGAGAGTTCTATTGAAAATCAAGATAGAGAGGAAGATCCTGTGATCAGCATAGCATCTCTATTCAGTTGGATATCTTCAACAACAGCAACAAAAAAATATTGTCCAGAACAAGGCCTTAATCATATGGTGTGATAAAGGTCTGAAGGGATGACGACTTGTAACAAGTGCCTATGATAATTTCTAATCACCACAAAAGAATTTATAGAATTTTATAGAACTACTTCATCTCAGATAGACCAGTAGAAGGAGGTGGACTTGCCTCTTAATAAGCTAGCTTCAGTGATTTTTTTTTTTATTTACTCATAATTCACTTATTTGAAGTGTTTTCTTTTTCTTGAATGAAATCAAGTAATCATTTTACTGTCTTGGGATCAGAAGTCTCACTTTTTTCTGACTCATGCAGTCTGCAGAGTCCCAGACTCCCTCCTCAGCCATAGCCAGAATTCACTGGCATGAATGAACCTGTTGACTTCTCTGAAAATCTATGTATGTAACACCTACAAGAAAGTAACACTGGAAATTTCCAGAAGACCAATCATATTACTCCTGACTTCTAGGTAATAAAAATCAAGAAACTGGAACCCTAATTGTTTATGGTAAACCAGCATATAAAATAATTTACTTTAATTAAATTGTAAGAATTTGCTTTATTGAAATTGTAAGATCTGTCATGTTGATTGCCGCTTTCATTATTAAACAGAATTTTTAACACCTATAGTTAGATTTGCCTAATGTTTTCTATCCCCAAATCTTATTTTTATTTACTGTAATATTTCCTTTTTTTAGTTAACAGATTAAATTCGCTGGGCTGGTTGGCTGTTTCAAGCCAAGTGCTTTTTGAAAACTTCAGAAAAATCCTTTGTCCTTTTTGAAAAATGAGATCAAGGAAAATATGTAGTTTTATTTTTCTTATAAAATTCTTACTGCCATCTCACTGAGGGATTTTACTCCGGGATCTGGAGCACAGCGTCTGACTCTGGGAGGAGCATGATTCTTATGTTGAGGTTGTGCCTTTTTCAATTGCTGTTAAAGCTGACCAAAATCTGGCATTGTTACAGATCTTAAAATTATGCTGTTATAGTTCAGAAGAGTTTCACAGCTATATCTCCTGACGGATCTGTCTGCATCTAATATGCCTCTTATTCCCCCAACAACTGCTGTGTTGCAAAAATTCTGCAAACAAACCATCTTCATAGGACAAGTCAGTGTCCCCTATTTGGAGATTGGAGGCGCTGCTCTGGAGTTTCCAAAGCTTTGTGTTGCATTAAGCACCAGAGAGGTGGTAGAGACTGTCTGTTTTCATGAGTTCGTTCCTCCCCTTGAAAGGCCCCGACAGCACCGAGGAGGAGCTGGGTCTGACTGATGTATCAAAGGGTAAACTGAAGGAAGGGGTTGAGGGAATACTTCTCTTGGATGCAATACTGAGGGAAAAAAAATGTAGCACTTTAAGATTTCCTCACAAAACAACATAAGCATATGGCTTCCTCCAGTCAAGAAACTGCTGTCAATATAAACTGTAGTTATACTTCATAGATACCTTCCTTTTTCGTGGATTATAATAGTGATAATTATGTTTTCCATAGGGAACTTGAAGGTAGAATGTAAAATGGCCCAGCATGATAATATAATTGTTATGCTGTTGATATCCTTTTCTGCTTCAAGGAGAGAAAACACAATTACAAAAACTGAGTTTTAGATCACAGTCAATGTTCCCCAAAATTGCAGTTTAAAATAAACATATTACATGGCTTGTTCCAAGGATTCAAGAAGTTTAGAGCATTTTAAAAGTTAGGAAACTGTGGATTCAAGCATCTGAAAAATTGTTTTTATTGACAAGTAGATTAATAATAGTAGTGCTCTTATTAAGAATGTTTACAATTTGTCTGCAGAAATTCAGTCAAGTTAAAATTTGACACACACTAAAGTAACCATGCAGAAATATTTTACGTAATTCCAGAGAAATATAATGATTAAAAATCCTTCCTGTTTTTTTAATCATTTTTACATCAGTCGGACTTGAAATTGGCTTTCTTCTCAAAAATGATTTTGGAGATCTTCCTTCTGTTTTGAAGTAATGAAAGCCTAAAGTATCCCCAAATGCTTTATGAATTTATGTGACTGGATCATTAATCTGAACTTTAGGAAGTCTCTAAACATTTATTCATAGGGGAAGAATATTCTCCCTTGGTTACATTAGACCCCTGGCAGCCTGAAACTTGGGGGGGTTTGTCCTTTTACAGTGCCAGGTACATCCTGTGGAAAATCTGATCTCTGCTGCAAAGCTGTGTCTGAAACTAAGCTCCTCAAACAACAACAAAAAAAAAGCTTTTTCCTGTGGCACTGTGGTGTGCTGTTAAGAGCTGCCCACCTCGTCTGTCCCCAAGACGTCTCCATCCCCACAGCTGAGGGGAGCACACGCTTGTACCCCACTTCACCAGTTTGCAGCCTGCCGTGTTAGTTTGAACTCATCACCCGTGTGAGCTAAACAGCTGATGGGTGCCCCCAGGTAGCTACCGGGCAGTGGATTAAAAAAAATCATGGTGACTCTGAGGCCAAGGGGCAGGAGGATTGTTTGGATTAAGGTGTTAACAACTGTCATGGCAAGAGAGGCAGGGCTCCTTTGTCAAAGCCCTAAATCTACATCGTTCCTCCTTATAAACCCTGCTCTGCTGCTTCTGACCTTAGGATCAATGGGAGTTGCTGAGTGCTCATCATTTCTGAAAGTTTGTCCATTTTTTTCCCAGTGTAAACGGAAGTATTTGAGTTGAAATTAAGGATTTTTTTTTTTTTTTTTTTTTTTCAAATCAGAGCCCCACATTTGTTTCTCTGTAAAGGAGCACAATCCAATACATGTGCAGATTCTGAAAATAAATAAATAGGTAGATAAATAAATAAAGACTCTAGGACTTTAGTTCTTTTGCTTTAAAATAAAATCTCTTACTTTTTCTTTACTGCTAATGGATCATATCCACTGTTTTTTATACTTTCTGAAGTCAGAAGGGACCATTTTCGTAATTTATTTTGACCTTATGGAAACACAGGCTTCAGAATATTGCTAAGTGATTTTTCTAACAAGGCCAAGAACTTGTGCAAAGTGAGGGCATGTTCTTGAGGCAGATATGAAAGATTGGTTTAGAGTGACAGAATCCACCACAAGTCTTGTTACGGTTAATTTTTCCCCATGAATACGGTGCTTCTGTGGAAAGTCTTACTTCACAAGTCAGGGACAGACATTTTTTCCACCTAGGCCTTCCTTTGAACCACTTTGGAGAGGGTGCAGTACCAGCTGCTGCTGTGACCTTTTCTGTTCACAGTTCCTGAGCTGCAGGCAACAGCAGGGAGCTCAGCATGGGTTAAACACCCAAGTATTCGCTTTGATTTGCAGGAGGATTTTGCATCCAGCGCTGAGCCTTGTGCTTCTGTTACCTGGTTTGGTGCTGCTGCGGTGGTATCTACATTGCACTACAGTTATAGGAGAGCCAAGAGTAGTTTTTGGAGCAAAACAAATAAATACTGAAAATTCTTATATGCCCCACAGGGTTTGTAGTCAGGCATTCTTTATGCATGCTTGTGATTCACCTTAAAATTGTTATATTGGAAATGTTATATACTCTAGATTAAATGAACAAAAGTCTATAGGCTGACCTTTGATGTAATACTGGTTATAAAACATTTCTGAAGTAGTTGCTGCTTGAACTAGATTTTTTTTTTTTTTTTAAATCCAATTTTCATTTTAAAATTACTGGTGATGGAGAGTCTAATGTCACCTGTACTAAGTTGTTCCAGTGGATGGTTACCCTTCTCTTTAAAAATGTCTGTGTCATGAGTAGGCTGCATTTATCTAACTTGTCTAATTTCCAGGCATTCAGTCTTGTTATTTCTTTCAACACTAAGCTAAAGAGTTCCTTTTTCATGTGTCCATTCCCTGTATTGGAACTACAGACCAGTTACCTTTGGAAAGTCAAAGCTTTTCCTCATTAAGCTAACTAAATCAAAGTCCTTGAGTATTTAATTAAAACACATAGTTCCCAATCATTTAATAAATGTTCCAGTTCTTCCCTGACCCTCTGATTTTTAACATGCTGCTTGAAGTATTAGTGCTAGAACTGCACACTGTATTTCACCAGCAGTTATAGTCATTTGAAAAACAGAAGTAGTATGTGTACCAGATTCCTACTCAATGCTCTGAGTTAACAAAAACAGTGATCACATTAACCCTTTCATCACACTGTTGTTTTGGTTATCAGACAACTCCCCAGTCAGAACCACAGTTTCCCAAAATAGTATCCTTGCTCTGAAACACACCCTTCAGTATTTGTTCCCAGGCATCTGACTTTTACAGGAAGAACCCTCGTTTTCCTTCATGCTGAAGCTTTTGTAAATACATTCTTTGCAGCTCCACTCCTGGCAGTCTTCCACTTCCATCCCACGCTCATCACTTTACATCTCTCCGTATTCTCTCCTTGCACTGATTTGGAGTCATCATGACCAGATTGCCTCTACAAATAAACACCCTTGGGAAGCCAGGAGTGCCCCACTCCACTGCTAAGTAACAGCGAGTTTCCATAGCCATTAAAGCAGCCAATGTCCCCTCTGATTCTGCCTGAACATATCCTAGCCTTCTGAAGAGAACCATGTGTAATCCCACCTGGAGATGAGTCAGTAAATTGTAAACACATATGAGATTTTCAGAACTAGTGGAGAAATCCCTCTGAATCTAGGCCTCGTGTCAATGGCTAAGAAGTGGCAACAGAGAAACTGAAGGATTAGGGGACCAGAAGAGGACTCCTGATATTGGACATGCCATAGTTGTGAGGAGCTGGATCATGGCTGCAGCAAACCAAAGAATGTGTTTAGATACCCTTAAAAATCACAACTGATCTGTGATCCATGGCTGTACCTTTGCACTGTCTGCACTAAATGCCAGGCCTTGGGTTGGCTTGGAGTTTTGTCCACGCGTATTACTTTGCCTCACATCTATTCCTTCCTGGTGCTGTTACCTCCCTAGTCAGGGTGCTGTGTAAACTCCATAAACTTCAGCCTGAACTGGGTGGCTCTGCTGAGCAACGTTTAAGGTTTGGAAAGGGTTCATTCTTTCAGTGGCTTCTGCACGTTTTGCATATGCATCCTTATGACTCAGCCCCCTCAAATCACAGTACTGGCTCTTCTTGAGGAGTGGTAGGGAAACAAAAATCTGGCAGTTATTGCTGCTGAAGACAGTATTTTGATGGGTGGTGGCCAAAAGCAAACTCCTAACTGTTGCTTACAAATACAGAGGTGAGCCTTTCTCTCTCCCATGTTCCTAGAGTTTAAATGTTTTGGGGATTTAACTGCTCTATTTTTCTTTGACAGCAACTTTGTGATGCAGGTAAACATCCATTCATACTCTTCTCCCTTTCAACTCCAGTGAACGCATAGGAATGAATCCAAGGCTGTTAAAGGTATAATAACCATCCACAGTATCTCCCCAAAAAGTCTTAAGATTCCTGCTGAAGCAAGTAGCATATAATTTAGGAGGTTCTCATCTAAAAATAATTTTAAGATTTGTTTTCTTTGTGGTATCACATGTCCAATAAAGCCAAAGAGTCCTGTATAAGCTCATTTCAACATGGGTCTCCCTCCTAACT